AGCAATAATAGTAACAGTCCTGTATTCAAGGCCAATTCTGTTACTGTTTAAATTATTTGTTTTACAATATATAATGCTATAGATATGAAGAGTATGACTGAATGATTCTAACTCACTATGTGTGTGTTGGCACCGGCATTCGGGATAGAGCTACATTGGACAATTCATGTTTTTACCTCTGTACCAAACAGCAATTGAGAGTACAATGTGCTGGAAGTAAAGGAGGTTTTAAACTCAACATCAGTGTTAGCCTACTCAATTTAGAGGGACCCTTTTGCTCCAGGCAAGCGCACAAGCAATAGGTTCAATAAGTTTACAAATACAGTACTGTACATGCTCAAGAAGAGAATGTAACTGAGGTGGAACCATAACATTGTTCCTCAATAAATCTCTTGGCTGTTGCTGCTACCTTCTGTCACTTTTATTTATACTTCTTTGGCACAAGTATTTTCTGTGTACAGTCTTGTATCTACCTGTCAAAAAATGTCACATTTTTCAGAAAAGTAGTCCCATGAATTTGGAGTTTTAAGGAATACCTGTAATGTTAATGTCTTTTAACATCAGCAGAAATAGTTGTTTCTATTAGTATTTGAATATCATCTAAATCAAAGCTATAGCCGAGCTAGTTATGCACTTATATGTTGCATGATTTTGCTCCAACTCATCCTAACATTGACTTTATTACATTTCAGCAGAGCAGTGTTATTATTTTAATTTTCACTTCCCCATTTTGTCTCCTTTTAACCTTTACCATCTGTCTCTGAACTTGGAACGTTTTTTCCCCGACTACCAACTGTTGGGTGTCATAATACAATATAGAATTTTGGAAAAGTGGTGAAATGCTAAAGATCTTTACACATTGTGTAATGTTCTATTTGCAAAAGGTTGTCTTGTAATACTGTGCCAAGTCAGTGCATACTATTAGACTAGACACCAATAAGTATTTACCCAGAGGGTGTTTAACTGGAATTAGTTATGAAGGAACTTAGTTGAGGCCAGGCTGCTTAACTCATTTAAAAAAAGAAACAGCTTGATGCTGTAAAGGGAGGATGGTAGGGAAGGAATGAGATGAAATAGACCAAGGGACATTTTTGTCCAAACCTTTCTTGTGTGAATTCAAGTCAGTGGTACACAGCAATGTACAAAGACAGCAATGTCATCTCAGAAACAGCAATATAATGTTAAACGTGAATGAACCCAAACCTTATAGTTAAAACAAATTAAGAACATTGTGACCATTGTATCCTATCTGGCCAGTCCCACAGACCAAAAAATATTATAGTCATCTTCTCTCTCTCGAGCCCTTCAATCTCCAATTATATATGCAAAAAATCTATTGAGCTCCAAATTGGATTTACTAAAGCTGTACATCTCTATTGCCCCCTGGACATTGCATTACACATTGTAATAATAATAATCCTTTAATTTGATATAGCACCTTGATATATGGATATTTGATATAGCGTCTTCGAGACGTCTCAAAGCATTTCACAGAATATACTGCAAAGAGAATTGACTGAATATTTTGTGGGCAAAACGCGGCAACCAATTGAGCACAGCGGTGTCCCATAAACAGTCGTGGATTGAGTGACCAAATTTTTTTTTTTTAAAAAAGGGATTATTAGCCCCGGAAAAACGATCCACCAATCGACTAACAACCGGGTTCTTACTCACTGCTACGTGAACGGAGGCATGTGGAGTAAGGAAACTTGCCCAACGTTTCGCCCCGCCCAGGAATCAAACCCGGGTCGTCTTCACTAAAACAGATAAACCTAAACTTTCTGTTCCCATTTTCCCTTCTGCTTTTCAGTACAATATATGCCTCCTTGTAGATATGTCAAACATAACATTCTATCCAAATCCTTTGGAATCTTCCAGTCTTACCAAGATTTAGTAGCAGGTCTTACCAATCTTAGTAAGATCTAGCTTGAGCCTTCTTGCATTCAGTATGTACATTTACAGTTTTCGTTGCTTTTCTGCATAGCTCCGGTTGCTCGTCCCAGGTATTAATTTAGTTTTTTACTGCATATTCCTGGTGGTGTGGTACCTGTGTGCTGCACGTGTGTTATGCTCTCATCTCTCTAGGTGCAAATCATAAGCTGTTGTTTGATATTGAATAATAAAATTATGAGCAAAATATCCCCTGTATCTTGTGACTTAAGGATCAGAGGTCATTCACCCCCCAGCCCCCCACCCCCACACCGGTAAATCATGGGGGAGGGGGCTCTTTAATGCTTGAGGGAATTTGTTACTTGCTTTCCGTTTTATCTGCAGCCATATAATTTATTTCTTTTACCACGTGTTTTTCAGGAATTTTGTTTCGCCTTCACATGGACTCCATATTTCTGAGTTCGGTTGCAATTAATTGAAGGTGCGAATATCACTTCTTTCATGACGTTAGCGTATTTTACACTGCATTTCACTCCTACAACAACTACATTTATATAACGCTGATTAATGCTATTTTTCTTTGCTCATCTAAAATGCCTATATTAATTGATAAACATGTCATCACCATGAGCATGATGAAAATCTCCACAAGTGGAACCGACCTGTTTGTGGAGATTTGTGTTATGGACGGGTTTAGATCCGAATACGTTTCTGACATGCAATGCGAGCCCTAACATGTCCCAACCACACGGTGTGTTTTTAATATACTGTATTCTGTGAATTTTATTGTTAAGCCCCCAAATATCAGAGAAACCTTAAAAAGTAAAAGAAGTCAAGTCATAAAGCAATAAAAAAAAGTAATTTCATCAAGGTTAATTTTTTGTGAGCTGCTTGCACACAGAAGCTCTACTAAGAACTTGCATAAGACAATTACATTGCACAACCTTGAGGATGGAGGAACAGAACTTCACCAAATAAACTCTCCCTGTAACGGCAAACCATGATATTAATACAGTTAAATGAATCTCTGTTTTATGTTCATCATTTCAAACCTGTACAGTTGAAATTTAGATGCTGGACAGGAGATTGGTAGTCTTAGATGCAATCAATACAAAAGTGTCTTCTCTTTAAGGAGGCACAAAGAAATTGTTTTCAAGAATAACAGCCGTTAAGTCACCACTTTGACTGTGTTCTAACATGAGCTGAATAAGTTAGTGCATATAATCAAAGCCACCAGTTAGATACATCATGAATTGCTCACCCAATAGTTCTTAGGAAATGAGTAATACATAATATAATAGTTGAAAAATACAGTACACATTTTCCATTTTCTGAAGAATGGGAACAATCCATAGGACACATTCACGTACTGCCCCTCAGACAAGAAGGCATTAAGGCTGGCAGCAATATTCAAATGAACATTTTTCATGAGGCAATACCTTAAAAAAAAGCTTCCTTGTCCTCTCCACCACGTTCGATACAGTCGATCACGCCATCCTCCTCCACCGCCTTTCCTCCGTCATCCACCTCAGTGGGACCGCACTCACCTGGTTCGAGTTCTACCTCACAAACCGCCAGCAGTACATCTGCACAAACGGCTTCTCCTCCCGCTCTCACCTGGTCACCTGCGGGGTCCCCCAAGGATCTATCCTTGGCCACCTCCTCTTTCTGATCTATATGCTCCCTCTTGGGGATGTCATCCACAGACATGGGGTACATTTCCACATGTATGCAGACGACACCCAACTCTATTTTTCCACCTCTCTTTGCGACCCCCAGCCCCCTGATGTTCTGTCAGCTGCCTGTCAGATCTCAGGGGCTGGATGAACGCAATCTTCCTTCAGCTGAACATTGACAAGACGGAAGCCATACTCTCATGGCTCTCACCTCCTCCACCTACCCGACCTTCCCCAAAAACTCTCAGAACCTGTACGCAACCTAGGCGTCAGGTTCGACCCCCAATTATCCTTCCTCCCCCACATCCGGTCCCTCACCAGCACCGCTTTCTTCCACCTCCGACGCATCGCCCGCCTCCGCCAATACCTCCCTCCGAAAGCTGCTGAAACCCTGGTCCATACCTTTGTCACCTCTCGGCTGGACTACTCTAATGCCCTCCTCGCCGGTCTCCCATCCACTACCATCCATAAAATTCAAATCATTCTAAACTTTGCCGCCCGCATTCTCACCCGCACCAAACTCTGCTCCCCGATCCCCCCAGTCCTTACCAGACTGCACTGGCTGCCTATCCCAGAGAGGATTGATTCCAAGATCCTCACCCTTGAATTCAAGTTCCTGCATTCCTCTGCACCCCCCGACCTCTGACCTCCTCTCTCCTCAAAACAGTACCCGTTGCCTTCGTTCCTCCGGGTCTGGCCTCCTCCTCATCCCCCGAGTACTCCGCCCCACCCTCGGCGGCCGTGCCTTCAGCCACTATGCCCCGAGGCTCTGGAACTGCCTTCCTCACTCCCTTCGTCTCACTCCCTCCTTTCCCATTTTCAGGTCTAAGCTGAAGACCTTTCTTTTCGACCATGCCTTTGGTCACCTTCCTCCCCCTCCCCCCTGGCTCGGTCCTGGGATACGTTACTGCAAAGCGCTCTGAGACGCCGTCCGGCGTGGAGGGCGCAATATGAATCCAAGTTGTTGTTGTTATTGTTTCGGCATGAAATTGTGGTCATTCTTATTCATGACTATTAATATTTTCCAGGAATGTACTGCATCTTCAATATGAGATATAAAAGGAAACAAAAGTAATGAACTTCCGCGCCACATTCAAAATTAAAAACATTAAATGTATAATATACGCATGTATTTTCGGAACATACAAACAATCAAATGTATTATATGCCACCTCACAGAAATAAAATCAAAAATATGCATTTTAAAATGGAAATTTCAATATTTTATTAACAGCAGAATTGAGGAAAAGAAAAACATTTGTACCATTATTGTTACAGGAGTATTTCAATTAAACAAAAATACAGAGAGAATACCAATTACATAAATATTTCCTTCCACAACTCAATAAGCAAAGAACGCTGGCTAGCTAGTCATTCATGATGTTGCTGTTTGCAAAGGAAACAGAAAATATGCTATAAGCACACACCTTGGAATTAAGGAACAGGATTTATTATGAACCATGTATACACCAGCAGTAAACTATTTCTCCATCTGTCAGTGTTGCTTCCAAAGCCCTTCACCTTCCAGGACAAGAGGGTAAATAGTATAGTGTTCAATTCCTTACAGAAAGAGAACATTGTCTGATCTGATTTTAATCCTCATGTACGTTTTTGCTAAATATAATATATTGCTCTTTTTAAATTCTTCTTCCAGTTTAACGTAGTCATTTAATAAACAAAACGTAAACACTCATAACAATGCAGGACATCGCCACTGGTACGTGAAGCCTTGTTCCTATTACTGCAGCTGTAAGAACACAAAAATGTTTTCTTTAGAATAATGCTGACATAAGTGCATTTTCTCATGTTTAAAAAAAGGAAACAAAACTGACACATTTAAAGACACTGCAATTTTGACAATTAAGTGGCTATAGAGGCGGAAATGGTTCACACTTGTAATTTATGGCCCAATGAATGAATGACTGATAATATGGGGAGGCAGTGAGAGGAGAGGATACAGTGATTCCCTCAAGAGTTGCAGGAATAATTGGTGAAGGAGTCACATCAGTCTACTCCATATACCTCCTGCGCCCTACCCAAGATTAGTATTGGACAAGCCCTGCGACCAACATTATATCATATGCCAGTTTCTTTGTTTACAACAGTAACCTGTTAACTAATACAATAAGCTGTTAAACTAATCAATACTCAAAGAAATAAGAAGACAATCAAAATATGGTCAAATTATCTTTTATTTCCAAGGAATGTACTTTTTTATTCCTATATTTTAAATCAAACGAAAATGTGTTTATCAAACATAATATTTATTTTGATTTACCTTTGTAAAATACACCCCATACCCCTTTCTTTTCCGAAAGTAACCATTTATTTAGTCGTGGAACTTTCTTCAAGTATGCGCAGGTGCATATAAAAAGCAAGCCAAAAACCAGCAGGCCATCGAAGGAATATACTGTAAAGCAAAAAAAAAAGATTTGCTTAATTCATCCACCTAAACAAATTACAAGGTTGTGATGAGACAAAATTTGTATGACCCATCAATCAACCAGATAGGTTTAAGTTATTTTACCATGAAACGGCATTAAGTGTCTTTATTTAAACTGTATCGTAAATTATTATTTCATGCTTAACATTTGATTTATAACAATAATCCTTGCACTTGATATAACGCCTCATTATGTTTTAGAGACGTCTCAAAGCACCTCACAGAATATACTGTAAAGTGGATTGACTGTATATTTTTGTGGATTCTAAACATGCTGATGATGCTCAGGTTTTGAAACACCATCGACTCAGTCTGACAAGAAATTGTCTCATGACAAGAACGTCTTCAGTTGTAGAAAATTGTGTTAACATCAAAGGAAACATCAGTCAACAAAGAGATACCTCATTGAGTATACAAATATCAGCTTTGGGAAAATGCAGGATTTCTTTGTTAATTGAACAGAGAACCAGTCTATCATCATTTTAGGATCTTTTTGAGTCTAAAAAGGAACAAAAGCAAGAGAGAAACAGAGAGAGTAGTATTGTGATGGTGCATCAATTATAGAAGCATCCCGGTTTGTTACTTGTCCCATATGAATTTCAACAATGATCCTATATTGTCTCTGAACTCACATTATCGTTCTCTTGTGACTGATGAATTGCTCTAAGTGAATTGCCGAGGAAGGCGTCCAAGTCTTTTCTGGCCTGCGTCACAACAACCTCTCGCTCTAGAATGCAGTCATCCTTGTGACACAGAGGAGGACAAAGGGAGAAAAATCGGGAGGAAAAATTGGGAAAGAGCAAACTACTGTGAGTATCACTCCCGTTGCACTCCACCAGACTGCTGGATTGTTTTATTTCTGGGCTCCAAAGCTTTTAATCTTCAGAGTCAAGGAGCGGGTACTTTTTGCAAACAAATATTTGGATTTATGTAAATGTAAAACTGAGAAGAGGCTGCGAATTAAGCATAATATTAAAAACATATTACTTTGTGCTGAGGTTCTGTGAAAAAGCCTATGCGTGATGAAGCAGCTGCCCTTTCAATGCTTTGCTAACTAATTATTCAGGCAGTTAATTAATTCAGTATAAATATATGTTCCAACTGTAATGAAACCTTTAAACGTTTCTGAGAAGTATAAATATTCTCACCATGTTTACACAGGAAGAAAGATGAAAATTAGCAAGATAAATGGAATAAAAATTGCATTATTTTTGCTGGATTTGATTCTCTCTGCTTCTGCTCGGAAATTACTAGGATGTTTGTCTGCATCTGGAAACACTTAATTCATCCACAAATCATGAAGTGCCCTGCTATTTTGGTGCCTGGCCATTTTGTAGGCCTATTGCATGCAGCTCATGTGGGTTCATCAGATATTTTCCTATCTTATACTGCTACATTATTAAGTTGCTGGTTTTCCAAAAACGTTGTCACAATTCTTATTTACTTTTTTTGCATTAAAACAGCTAGCGGCTACCTCTATAATGTTGTCGACATGAATCCCCAACATCTCTTCTGGTTTTCACAGGTGATTTGTTTGCAAAACTGTAGGATCCGCTGCTAAATGTGCAGTATAAACTCGCATTGGATTCCAGTTCAGAGAAGTTTCCTTTGGCGCTCGCAGCAGGTGTTGTGCGAATAGTTAGTAAGCAACAACAATCGAACGATGTGATTTAAAGTACTGCAGCGCTGTACCATGTGCTGGGGTTTATTTCATTTGATTTACAGTAACTCGCAGTATATTCCATTTTTATAGAAACAGATGCCAGTTTAATATGCTACATGCTGTAACCTTATCTGTAGTGGTACAAATGCATTTGTAACTACATCCCCGGTCAGCGGTGAATTCAACTTCAAAACCACATTGTTAAAACTCTCTGAATACATAGCAGGTGTCTTGCGGCCATGGTTCACACTGCCATTGCTATTTGCAGCAGATTAGGCAGCTCTGTAGCAACACTTCTAAATGGATAGTCGTCCTTTTTAAATTATAATAATAATGATCCTTGCATTTGATAGAGCGCTTTTCACGTCTTCTAGACGTCTCAAAGCCCTTCACAGAATAGACTGTAAAGTGAATTGACTGTATATTTGTGGGCGAAAAGCGGCAGCCAATTGCGCACAACAGTGTCCCACAAACAGTCGTGGATTGAAATGACCAATTTATTATTGTTTTTTTTCTTGAGCGATTATTATCAGGCGTGTGGAGTAAGGAAACTTTCCTAAGGTTTCACCCTGCCGGGAATCGAACCCAGCTCTCTCTGGGTGGCGCTGGGTAGAAATCACTGTGGTACTGCTGATGCTTGGGAATGTTATACCCATGGAAAAGTTCATTACCTTAGCTCATTATATTGTCACACGTATCACTGTGTTAGTTTGTTCTTCTGTGCCACAATCCATTTCCTGGCTTGGAGCACAGCAGGTAACCTAATCCAATGTCTTTGTCACACCTCTATTGTTCAGCAACTGATAGATATACAAGAGCTCTGGTGTTTATACTGTGTTTGTAAAAGAATGCACTCGTGTTCCTCATCATTAATGGAGAAGGATCTTTGATGCCTCCTGCAGGCAATTTGACTTAAAACAGGAATTTATATGATGATCAAAGGCCACTATGAATCTACGAAGTACTTTATAGTAGAATATATGTCTATTGACCCGGATGATATTTAGATCTAATAATTCTTGAGATTTATAGATTTAAAGAAACAAGACATTCAGCCCAACCAGTCCAAGCCTGTGTGTATACTTATCATGCTAACCCACTTCCCAAACTCAACTTGCGTCCATCCATGTTAACCCACTTCCCAAATCCCTGTTCCCTCCTTCATAATCACGTATACATGTATTACATTTCTTCTTCAATGCATTATTTGTTTTCTGCCTCAATCACAGCTTCTGGTTGTGAGTTCCACATGTTCACCACCCTTTGCATAAAGAGGATACACTGTCAAGTAGTTTTGACTGTATGTTTTGTTGGCAAAACACGACAGCCAGTCTGCGCGTAGCCATGGAATTTGCGACCAATATTTTTTCCAATTTGTTGGCCAGGACACTGGGAGAGAGGTACTCCCTTTTCTTTTTGAATAGCCCCGCGGGATCTTTAATGTCCACCCTCACAGGCAGACAGGGGAACTTGGTTAAACAGCTCATAGGAAGGCGTTCCTTGATTCAGGGTGAGCCTGGAGCCCTGTAATTGAATACTCGGGGCTGACAGTGTCAGGGTGACAGACAGCCCTGAACCTCGGTGTGTATGTGTGAAATGCAGCCAAACAAAACCCTGGAACACTCTTCCTCTATCCCCCCACCTTGCCCGCTCCTTCCCCATCTTCAATTCGCGCCCGAGGGCCTTCCTATTGGACCGTGCCCGCGTCTCCCCCCTCCCTGCGGCTCTGCCCTGCGCTCCGCCGCTCCGGCGTCGAGCGCTCTGGGACGCTCACCCCCACCCCCCCCCACCCCCGCGTGACGGGCGCCGCTAATAAAAGCAGGTCGGCGTCAAACGTTCGCCTGATCCCCCGGCCGGGCGTGCGGGGGCCCGGATTTGGCTTGCGCCGCGTTGCGCCCGCCAAACGCACAGTCACTTTGTCGGTCCATGCCCGCGAGGCGCTGCGAGGGCGTCCCGAAGGCGGGCTGGGGGGGGGGCGCAAGGATTATTATTATTATTATTATACAGTGGTGGGGGGGGGGGGGGAGAACTGAGGAAGAGGCGGTGAGTCGCCTATTGGACCACAGGGTCTGTCAATCAGTGGAGCACTTCCGTAAACACTGACTCGATCCGTAACACTGACCCCCCACCACTAACCCCCTCCCCCCCACCACCAGCTCCCCCACTACTACGTACGCCCCCCACCCCACACACCAACCCCCCCCCCCCACCCCCCCCACCCCCAGCCTTGGCCTAAAGAGACGTCATCCGAGGGGGTGAAGCGGAGGGAGGGGGACAAGTGGGGGGGAGTCCTCACCTCCCTCACCCCACACACACCCCCCCCCCTCCTCACTCACTCGCCTCCGCCGAGGCCTCCTCCAGCGGCGGCCACGTCCTCAAACCCAGGCCGGGGCCCCGCCCACCTCCGGGCCCGATGTCGCTGAGGAGGGGCCGGGAATGGCGGGGGGTGTGGGGGGGAGATGCCTCTCCTCTCCCTCTCTCTCTCCCTCCCCCCCCATCCCCCCGCGCGCCCGCGCCGGGCCGAGCGAGCGGCCGCCGTTACCGTTTGTCATGGCGGCGGCGGTTTCCCTCTCTCCTTCGCTCCTGTGGCGCCGCCCCGCGGCCCCGGCGCTCGGTGATGACGCGTTCGAGGCGCACTCAATCCATCCCCGCGCCCATCGATCCGTCCCTCCATCCGCGCGCTCCCTCCATCGCGCTCGACTACTCCGGCCTGGAGTTGTTGGTCCTCATTCCCCTGCAATGAAGGACCTGAGTGACAGTAGTAATAATAGTAATAAATAATAATAATTGATCATAACGACCCTTGTATTCGGTGACCTTATTTTTTTTTCCTCTCTGGGGACCCGATAAATCGCTGTTAGCAACGATCCGAGGGTCGTCGTCGTTGTTGTCGCCGCCGCCGGCGTTGTTGTCGGCGGCGTTGTTGTCGGCGTTGTTTTCCACTCGGGGGGGGGGGGGCAAGGGGCGGGGATAGGGGGGTAAACGTTCGTTCTTCCGGACGCACCGCCCATCATAATCCCATCCGAGGGGGGGGGGGGGGGGGGGGGGAGAAAAAAGACCCCATAATAATTCGGTCGCTTCAATCCACGACTGGTTGCGGGGACGCCGCCGGGCGCAATCGGCTGCCCCGCGCACACAGCCGATGCACTTCACGGCACGTGCTGTGAAGCGCTTGGAGGCGTCGAGAAGACCTGGAAAGCGCGAGATCAAACGCGAGGATTATTGTCACTGATGATGCCCTTCGCAGCGAACTTCGGCCAAACCGTTGTGATGGGTTTCCGCTTGTGTCAAGAAGGCAAAATAAAATTCTGGACCCGCCCAGCCTCGTGCCTTTTGGCCTCTTTTGGGCGCATGTTTCTCTGGAGAGATGAACACAATCGTCTTTCACGAAAAAATAGCAGAACTATTGGAAATCAGCAGTGTAGCAGTCAGAGAAGAATAGGTTCACCCTTTGTTATGGTTTCCGAAGACGTGCTTTGCCTGCAATGTTAACTATTTTTCCCTTTCGGATACTGTGGTCCTAATCCTTTCATACCATTACTTTTTTTGTAACATTAGTTCAACCTCCAACTGCAATATCTATAAATGTGTACAATCTTCCACAAAATTGTACCATAATCACTGATTTGCCAAGTTTCATTTCCTATTAATTCAGTTAACCTCACTTTTTTATGTTTGTAGAAACTCCTCTGAAAGTTAACAATGTTTACTTTCAAGCTGACTGGCTAATATTGACTGAATGTGCACTTTATTCTAATTACAAACTGCTTCATACACAAACAACAACTTGCATTTGTCTCGCGCCCCTCACGCAGGGTAGCGTCCCAGAGCGCTTGCCAGTGGCGGAGCATGATGCCGAGATGGGTGGGGAGGGGGAAGGTGAAGCCGAATACTTAACATCCGCCAGACAGCCTCATCCACCTGCACCTTGTCACCCACCACCACTCCCTCTCTGTCCCCCTCACCTTTCTCACCATCTGCTCCTACCACCACCCCTTTTCTACACTCTTTCCTCCCCATCTCTCCCTCCTCCCTCTCACCCACCATCATCTCCATGAAACCCACCACCTGCTTCCTCGACCCCCTCCCCAACAAGTTACTGGTCACCCAGCTCCCCCTCCTCTGCCCATTACTGGCTGACATCATTAACCAATCCCTCTCCTCCGGATCAGTCCCTGCCTGTCGGATCTCAGGGGCTGGATGAGCGCAAACTTCCTTCAGCTGAATGTTGATAAGACGGAAGCCATACTCTTTGGCTCTCGTCAATGTCTAAAATCTCACGGCTCTCACCTCCTCCACCTACCTGACATCCCCCTAAAACTCTCCGAACCCGTACGCAACCTAGGCGTCAGGTTCAACCCCCAATTATCCTTCCTCCCCTACATCCGGTCCCTCACCAGCACCGCCTTCTACCACCTCCGACTAATCGCCCGTCTCCACCAATACCTCTCCCCAAAAGCTGCTGAAACCCTGGTCCAGGCCTTTGTCACCTCTCGGCTGGACTACTCTAACGCCCTCCTCGCCGGTCTCCCAACCACTACCATCCATAAAATCCAAATCATTCAAAACTCTGCCGCCCACATTCTCACCCACACCAAACTCTGCTCCCCGATCACCCCAGTCCTTGACAGACTGCACTGGCTGCCTATCCCAGAGAGGATTGATTTCAAGATCCTCACCCTTGTTTTCAAGTCCCTGCACTCCTCTGCACCCCCCAACCTCTCTGACCTCCTCTCTCCTCAAAACAGTACCCATTGCCTTCGTTCCTGGAACTGCCTTCCTCACTCCCTTCGTCTCGCTCCCTCCCTTCCCATTTTCAGGTCTCTGCTGAAGACCTTTCTTTTCGACCGCGCCTTTGGTCACCTTCCTCCCCCTCCCCCCTGGCTCGGCGCCGGGATCCGTTACTGTAAAGCGCTCTGAGATGCCGTCCGGCGTGGAGGGCGCTATATAAATCCAAGTTGTTGTTGTTGTTGGCTAAATTGTGCTTTTTTTTTTAATCATTAAGTTCCAGATACCTGATCTGTACACATGAAATCTGTGCTGCAATAATGCTATCACCACTTCATATTCAGGCATCTCGTTCATATTTAGTTGTTGTATATCCTGTTTGCTATTGTTAGCACCTAATAATGTTTATTGAAGTCAATCTCAAAGTACTTGAAAAAAAACAATCTGGAAACAGCCTGTGTAATCTTAAGAAATATCTAATTTTTTTAAACAAGAGAAACAGTTCAAGTAGCTGCAAACTGGTTGCAATTTTTTTTTAAAAAAGGAGGCAGAAATCAACTGTATATTTTCCTTGCAATGTTGTTTTGGTGACTGTTCAGGGAGTGAATGATTGTGCAATGTTTAGCCACAGCCAGTATGGGTTAGGGGGTTGGCCTGCGAGAGATTTATAGTTCATCATTTCAATGCACCATTCAATGGTGACATCTTGCACTGTCAAGAACAATTAACATAATCCCAGTGTTTCATGCCTCCACTGCCTGCAACAGACCCACTGTGGAATGATGTGTACGACCTAATGCGATTACACGACTGTCCAACAATAGATGTTGATCATGTTAAGGAGCCTTCCAATGAAAAATCTTGTCTATACCACGAGGCGACGACAGATTGAATGTGAGCGTTGGAAATAAAACTGATCACTTTACCTCGAATGAAGAAATTGTTGTGTGTTCAATATTGATTTTTGACTGTTTAAGATTCCTTCCAGAAAGGAGTGTCGCGGGAATTTGTATCATATGGATCATGATCGTCCAGCCTGGATTGCTAACTATCAGATAAGCATATGACAAAAAGGAAAAAGTTTCTGAATGAGATTCTGCCTATAAAGAGAAAAGGGAGAAGATTGGTTCTATAATCAATCAGTCTATTTGTTTTAAGCCATGGGAGGATCTCAAGGCAAAAAGGTGAGCAATGTGAATGTATTTAATTGTACTCAGTTTATTTTGCAGTTGACAACAGATAATACATACACTTTTTCTTACCTGATATTTCTTTTCTCGAAACACATGCAACAAAAATGTACACTTTATTTGCTTTGGGCATTTACTTTACATCTCTGTTTTGGACTGCTAATTCTTTATTGTTTTAGAATCTCAGTTATTGCATCATAAATACATATTAAACGTACTTTAGGCATCGGTAAATTAATTTTTGCCAGACATAGCTTTACTATGGTCTAGTGGTCTGTTAGGCCAGTATGTTAAAGTCAACGTTTCATTACCCATCTTGTTACAGCTTATGAGTATGAAAATGTAATTGAATGCAACAAAATACAGTATATCTCTGCTGCAAATGCGATTCTGTAAAAAAAAACAAGACCATATTATCTATAAAACAATTCGCCAATTTCTGTCCTTTCATTTCTGTAAAATTGCGGAAAAAAACAAATTTTGCAATCTCCAACAGACTGCAAAAAGAAGCTGGTCTCATAATATATCTATTCGGCTTTAAAATAAGAACTCAGCATTTGAAACTGCACAGCAATGCTTATCATACTTATTGTGCATGGATTTTAGGCTCAAGCCCTATTGATTGAAATCCAAATGAGTAAAATTAGTCATGTCGCAGTGAGTTGTTATGTTTTAATTATAGTTTGCTGAAATGAAGATTTGTTCAAACAATTCTTATTAGAAACGTATGTAATAATAAATGATAAACCTAACAAGCAATATCAACTCGATGTTGTGGTCCGAGAGATGATTCAATGTGTTCGTGGAAAACCAACTCTCCTTGCATTTCGGTAACTAAGGTTGAATCAATAATAATGATAAACCTTGCATTGGATATAGTGCCTTATCAAGTGTTAGATGCTATTGCTTGCTGCAGAGGGAATCCTTTAATTCCGCATTATTGCCATTCTTCACCGTGTTTGCTGGGAACAAATCCAATCCAGACGGTTCAGATGAAAGTTTCTTCACTCTATGATTGCTTTTTTAGGAATCTCAAAGTGTAATTTGTTTGGACAGCCTCAATCCAGCTCCCAGATAATGAGACCGCAGCAGAAAAAAATCACTTTCATAATGCCACGATTTTATTCTTGTGCACTCAGTCATGTTGTTTACTTGGCATTGTGAGGTGATGATGTATTGGAAACATTAATGCTTCAGAATATTTACTTATAATCTCGTTTGTACAAATATCCCATGTATTTGTTTAAACTTGTCCTTACTTCTGAATCTGTGGTTAATTCTCCAACGTAGGATGTTTACTTTGAGAGTTTGCGGACGGCTTGATGTATAAACATCGATGTTGTCCGACTAACATTTGGTGAAGTTGAACAATTAACTACTGTAGATGAATTTATTGTCAGTGCGAGTACACTCATTACACACTGCACAGCTGTACTCTCTGAAAACCACCCTATTTGAATGTGGTTTTGTTTTATAAACAAGAGGAACAATAACATGTAAAACAAAAACAATTTGAAATATATGCTTTTTGCAGTTTAAACAATTTTATTTTTTTTGTCTCTCCCAATCCACAATTTTGCTATCAGGAAGCATTGTACCATGATATGATAATACAATTGCTGTATTCAGAGTAGAGGGAGAAACGGGGATAATGGGGAATTGAATAGGCAGACGAGTAGCAGATATACTTTGTCTCCTACAGTAAACTTAGTATCATTGCTTACAGTATAGCAAAAATATCTGGAGCTGCACCTGGCAGCTTTGACTTGTCTCCACTTGTGGCTCGACTCACACCAGTGGATTCACTGACGTTGTTGTTATAAGACCAATTTATTAGCTGATTTTGATGTTATAAGGCTAACACGACAACCAGTTTATTAATAAAATTGGTCGCTCACTCTATGGAGGCTTGTGAGACATTGCTGCGTGCAAACTTGCTGCTCCATTTCGCCCACAATATACAGTCACTGCACTTTACAGCATATCCTGTGAAGCGCTTTGAGACGTCTTAATGATGTGATAAGGTGCTATATCAAATGCAAGGATGATTCTTATCATTATTATTATTATGATTATTATTGTCATCATTACTATTATTACTATTATAGTGTTGCAGTTGGTTGAACAAATGCTTCCTGGATGCAAGTAATCTATATTACTGAGCTATATTACTATGTTTTACCGTTTCCTTCACAATCACACCGAACGTAGGAAGAACGTACAGTACCTGTAGTTTGGTAATAGTACTGCCTGCCACCACCACCTGAGGTCGCCACACCTCCCAGTTCTGCCCGTAATATTTCAAATAAGAATCTTGAACAGTGTAAAATCGTGAGCGTGATCAATAGATCTTGAACGCGAGTCAGGCAAATACATGTATTTGCAGTCTTTAAAGCTAACTACTCGCGGCCTCGATCCCCACGCCTGTTATCCACTCTGTTTTATTATAGAAGCACAGATTAAGCATTTTCGGTTTACAAACACTTACGTAGTTCCCAAATGCCACGGCTGAATTCGCACAGCTCACCGGCTGCTATGCCAACCTAAACAAACCCCCGTATTCATTTGTTTGACTGAGATACCAAACACCAACACCGGTACATTGTTTGTGGAGATCTGCCCTGTGACTTATTTCATTTGGGGGTTTTATATAATTTATTTTACGTCCTCTCATTGCATCACAATAGCAACAAATTACACTTGTGTAGCGCCCTTCACATTGGAAAGACGTCCCAAGGCGCTGGTTAATTGTGTTTTTTGGACCCGAGCTGGGGTCAGGAGGGGTGGAGGGCAAGGAGGGTGGGGGTGGGTTGGTGGATGGAGCCACGGTGGAATAGAAAGGTCTTTGGGTGGGACTTGAAGGAGGCAAGAGAGGGGATGAGGCAGAGGGTTTGCGGGATAGAGTTCCAGAGTGTGGGGGCAGAGATGCTGAATGCCCGACCGCCAACACCTTGCATTAAAGTAGTGCCTTTCACGTATGGATAGCCTCTCACAAAGATGGGGTGGGACACACGCACCCCTCCCCCTGCTATACCCCAGGAAAACTGAATGCTTTAACGCTCCAAGCTCTGTCATTTATTGTCATCTGGGCAATGTTATTCACTTGCTACATTGAGATGATCTTGCGAGTTGAGATTCAGATTGAGACCGTGGTCCACATCACGAAACTTGCTTCAAGTTTGCTCACTAAATAGCTAGTACTATAAAGGCAGTTTTAGCAGCCCGCCTGTTATATTAATTAAATAGCTCCAGCTATTCATTGAGAATCGTTGAGAGAACCGAAGGCTGGATAAAAGAAGGAAGATACGATGATCAATTTTAAATGAACACAACACAAAAGGTACCCGCGTGTGTCAGGAAATGCAATGTTACCAGTGTAAACCATCAGCCTATTCCCCAGTCGTGAAGGCTGAGTGTATTGATAAATCCCCGTCTCAGTTCAATAAGTGTCATTGCTGTTTCCTTAAATGGATTGAATAATTAGATTGCCCGTTGACACGGCGCGGAAAATCAGTTTAGCAGCTTAAGATTCACTGGAAAAACAACCGCTTCATATAAATATCAAGAAGACAAGCAGATGCTAAAGCGAGATTTTAGATTTAGGGAACTGAGTTTGAGCTGTGGCCACTACTGCATTCAGACTGCGTGGTTTCACAGCACAGTCCAATTACATTGATTAACAGTGAAATCCCCTTTAAGTCGATCATATTAATCTCATGGCAAGAAGCATCTGCTGTTTTTACTCCGGTAATAAGCTAACAGAAATCCATTTGATTAATGGGTTCGTTTTTCAAAGGCTGTCAGGTCCTGTGTTTAAAAATAGTCCATTTAGAAATCTCTGTATGTAGTGTTATGAAAAATAGGGAACAAATCTCTATCTGGTATTATGTAAAATAGGAAACAAAAGCTTTGTCCAGTCTGCTGCAGTTACCTTTGAATTAGCACTTTTATAATTAAAATTGCTTCCTGGATGCCAGTAATCTATACTTTGTTTTTACTTTATTTTCACAAGGGCAGTGATATTTCATAGTAGCCAACGCAGAAACGTTTCTGTGGCCATTACACCGCCCCAACTTCATGCTGCTTTTCTTATCTTGTGACTGAGAATAGAGAGCCTCTCTGACTCTGTGAATCATAAATCTAGCGACTACTTTAAAGGCAAAGAAAAACAGAACAAAGGCTCACTTTTGGACCTTAACTCTAACCTTAGGAAAACAGAACATCACCCAGACAATGCTGAAATTCAAGTGCTGACTGTTCAAGTGCTACAAATGTTCAAAATAACACGTTTTACATCAATACATATTACAACAATTGCATGCATTTAGCCTCCTTCACAAGAGATAACGTTTTGGAGTCCTGTACAAAAGACAGGATTGGGCACCAAGCGAGCGAGATAGGGGAAAGGGGGAAGTGACCATAGGTGTCGTGGATAAATACAGATAGCACTGGAAATAACTTTACAGTTTAATAATAATAACCCTTGGATTTGGTATAACGCCTTATTACATTGCTGAGAAGTCTCAAAGCGTTTCAAAGGATTTAGTGTAAAATGGATTGACTGAGTATTCTGTGGGCGATATGCAGCAGCCAGTTGCTCACAGCAATGTCCCACAAACAGCCATGGAGTGATTGACCGAATTTTATTTATTTGGGAGATTATTGGCCAGGACACCGGAAGGAACACCCTTCTCTTTTCGAATAGTGCCATGGAATCTTTAACGCCCACCTGAACGGGCAAATGGGACCTCGGTTTAACGTCCTATCCGAAGGACGGTTACCTCTTCCAACAATGCAACAGCCCCCAGCGCTGCACTGGAGCATCATCTTAGACAATGTGATTCCAAGTCCTGAAGTGGGGCTTGAACTCACGGCCTTCCGACTCAGAGACAAGAATGCTATCACTGCACCAGGCTGCCGCACAATAAATAGCAAAATTTATTTTACACTTTGTCCCTTTAGTCCAAAGCTTTACAGTTTGCCAAAAAAAAAAGGCAGTTGTATAAATGAACGATGAGCTTTTCCAACTTGTGGAATAAATCTATAATATACAGATAAAAGGATCATTAAAGTGAGAAATGCCACACAAAAAAAAGGTGAAAACCTCGATTTGTTTTAAGACATACAGAAAGAAAAATCTTTCAAGCCAAACCAGATAGCAAAAAAAAACTGAAAAAAATGAGCGCCTTCATAGATTGAAGTAATAATTTTGAGGTTGCGAACTAAAATTATTTTCCATCTGTTCTATAATCTGGATGTATTCATAAGGACAAAATCAAACTACAATATGAGGTGTTCACCAAAAGGGGAAATATGCTAGATCATCTTTAGAAAGCACAATACTCTACATTTTAGAGCGAGAAAAGCTAATGCATCAATTTGGTTCAAGAACAAGGAGTGCCTTGTATTTATTGATGGAAAGAAATGTCGTATGGTTTACGTCTCGCTCTTTGAAAGGCAATTTAATAGTGATGGCCAAAGAGCACTAAATGACCTGTTAGTAAATGACTGATCACTGAGTGCTAACTTGGTGCTACTCTCAATGGAGAGATTCCAAATCATTGTTGTAGCATCAGGAGATTGTACTGTACAGTACAGTTCTATAACAGGCTTTATAATTTAGAAAGAATTTATAAAAGATCAAAATTGCCCATTAAAATGAATCATTTTCAATCTCTTGCAGTTAGCTACTTAGAATTACTCAAAGTTGATTATTTGTGATTAAGCATAAATTTTTAATCATTGCGGGGGGAGAAAGGTGAAATCTACCAGTATTCCCTCTCCTAATTGTTACTTAGAGACCTCTTTTGGAAGGTGAATGTATGAAAACCTGGGTTAAGGACAGGATCGAGCCTGTTCCCCCCGCCCCCACCACAGACCATCAGCACTGCATTGGAGTGTCAGCCTTGTTTGTGAGTTAACCCACCAGAAATCACGGTTAAAGCTCATGCGGGGTTATTCAAGTGGGGCACCAGAGGTCGATTGGTGCCTGTGGTTTGCTTACAAATACACAGTCACTACACTTTGCAGTGAATTCTTAAGTGTTTCAAGATATCTTCCCAACATGAAAAGGTCCGTATCAAATGCAAGGATTATTACTGCCCCATTAGAAAATTAAATCTAACATTTTAAACAGATTCTCTACTGTTTTTTCCTTCTTTTAAAATTTAAATTGTCAATTAATGCCAAATGTAAGTAAGGCAAACGGTAAGCTGTGGATAATGGAGATTCATTTCGCTTAGCAACCACTACAACAAAAAAAGGAAACACAAGAGGTTTTCTTCGTTCTTTCTGTGCAATCCAGAACCCAAAGGTAAAAGCAATCTTCGAGCTCATTAAATCATTCTTTAACTGCAGGATTGTTCACGGTTGGTGATTCCACTCAATGGGAGATTGTTTTTGACCTTGCCAAGCAGGGCTGCAGTATGTTAACAGTGCAGATTTTATGTTGATAATTGGTAGCACAGCCTGGGAGGATAAATGGGAGTGATAACATAAGTTCCACTTAAGTTCACAGCATTTAATGCACATTGCTGACTTTCTCTGCACAGTCCTCTAAGCATTTCTGAATTGTGTGCCCCTACACAAAACAAATCTCCGACCTACTCAACAAATTGGATTTTGCTCAGAAAAGTGTCTTAGGTTAGATGAGAGGAAAAGAGGTGATTCAGAAACAAAAAGCCCAAGCATTACCAAAAAGCATTACCCTTTATTACAAGAAAACATAATGGAATTACTCTTCCAATTCAAGAGAAACAAGTAATAGAACAAAGTTCATGACTCATTGACTCTTACATCCACAGTACAAATTCCTTAATGATAGCAGACAGTTAGCAAGTTGTAAAATGGGAAACAAACAATCCTAATTGATGCATAAAAGGGAAATTACTGCAGATGGAGGAAATCTGAAACAAAAAACAAAGTCGCTGGGAACATTCAGCAGGTCAGGCACATCTATGGAGAGAGGAAAGTGGGTCAATGTTTCAGATCGAAAACTGCATTAATGCATATTATATAAAATAACTTACTCCAAAGAGCTGGAACGAGGGAGAATCTTCAACACTATAAATATAGTTATTTGTTTTAAGTTAAGTTTATGATTGTTAAAGTTTGTTATATAATCTCAAATTTCAGATAACTGTTCACTCTCCCATTATCTGCAACCATAGCAATGTGAACTTCCTGTTCCTAATACTGTACATAGTCTTGGTTTATACTTCATCATATTCTTTCTGCTTCCTTCCATACTGCTAGAAATACTATTGAGAGAGCATTAATGCTGTATTAGGGAATTCACAGGGGAAGCAGATCTGAATCATGAGAAGAAAATCTTGGCTTGTTGTCAACACTGCCTCTCCACCAACCCAAATGTTTGAAATGTACTTCTATAGCTTTCATTTTAGTTAGCATTCAAATTATGATTGAAAATAAAATCTGAAGTGACCATTGCGTTCATTAACAAGATAAAGACATCCGTGTGTTATTGTGCTGTCTTTTACAGAAACACAGTAAAGTGGCTGCAAAGTGAAACTGCCCTCTGAACAATGCAGACTTGTTTGCTATGGTTTGAAATCAAGAGTTTGCTTTAACTGTGCATTAATCTGATTAATTTTCCCCCCCCCCCCCGTTTCAATCTGGTTATTTTGCAACCTCTACAGTCTGGATGCAGCAGCATGCGGGATGGAACAAGATCAGGTAAGTGGTAGTGCTGTTTACATCTTCTGTAAGTTTGCTTCGAAAGATCTGTTTAATACATTTGAGCCACAGTAAGTTTGTTTCAATTCAGACAACAGATGTAATATTCCACTTCTATCCCCATCTACATCCAACCCATAAGAAATTAATTAATCTTAATAATCTTTATCATGCTTATTGGCACAGATTTAACATATGGCCATTTCAACATGTACAAAATACAAAATGAAATCATTTCGGTTGATGGTTATCTGCAAGTTATAACAAGAGACATTAACATAGTTTACATTGAATGAACATTGGCAATAATAATAAAACTTAGTGCATTCGAAATAGCACCTTTCAAGTCAGAAAAACAGCTTAAAGCACTTCACAAGATTTACTGTGCAGTGTAGTGCCTGTGTGTTTTATAGACAAACGCAGCAACTAATTTGCACACTGCAATGTCTCACAAGCATCCATGAGTGAATGACCAGTTTTATCTGGGGGGTGGGATTGATGGCCAGGACACCAGGAGAAACTCCTTTCTCTTTTCAAGTAATGACACAGGATCTTCAATCTCCACCTGAACTGGCAGACAGAATCTTACCTCCAATAACCCAGATCATCCCCAGGGCTGAAGTGTTGTCAGCCAAATCAATTCAAAGTCCCGATGTGGGGCTTGAACCCATAACCTTCTGACTCAGAGGCAAGAGTTCTATCAGCTGAGGCAGACTGACACCTGAATGTAATCGAAAGACAATTGATTCAATACTTTAAGCTTTGGAGATCCACGTGTGACCCGAGAGCAATAATATCATCAAGTGGTTCAGGTGAGTCTCAAACTTTAACTGAAGCCCCAGATGACATTATTACATTGAAATTGCTTCCACATATTTTATGGTCACCTTGCACCTTAGACACTGATAACTTAGGAACCTCGTGGAGTTAAGGCATTATATTCCCTTCTCCAGCTGAATATGATAAAACCTCTTGCTGCAGGCTTGTTGAGCCAGACTCAATTGAACTATCAGGAAATAACCCAATTTTAAGTGTGAAAAAAATATTTCAGACGTTTGATTCCACAGTCCAGGGAGGAAGGCTATTAACTGAAGCAGCTCTGGGAATTAGATTAAGTGGGAAAATTGGTGTACCCAGGAATAAGAGGGAAGATGATTGCAAAAACAAATGCACTCAATGGTTTAATTCTCCCACACATACTGGTTTGAGAACCCAATGAATCTTGGATAAGATCTGCAAATGGCTTTAGAGACCAATGGAAAATAAGGTTGTCAAGTCCTATCAGGAGACCTACACAGAGTACTTTTAAACTGGGTGCGCGTCTATTCTTATAACAGTTAAAGAACCCATCTCCCTCCAAAAATTGCTGCCCCTTGCACTTCTGACTGCTTCCTGTTTTTGTGTGGTTCTACGAGCGCTGGCAGTGAGTATTGGCTGATCTGGTCCTTCTGAAGTTGTAAGAGATGTACAGTCTGATTGATCGCATTCTTGTAAAATGCCCCATTCTACTGTCCTGCCATTGCAGCATCAAGATGTTTCTTAAATGAATCCAACACTCTGGAAGGATTACTAGATAATAATCCACAGAAGAAGTTTAGCTAACATTTCTCCCTCTTTCCCCCCTCTCTTTCTGTCTTCACTAAATGGCAAAAATTAATCTGGCAGAACTACAACAATAACAACAACTTGCAGTTATATAGCGTCCTCCACGCAGGATAACTTCTCATGTTGTCGAGAGATCTCAAAGCGCTTCACAGAAAGTGGATTGACTGTGTATTTTGTGGGCGAAATGCAGCAGCCAATAGCTCACTGCAGTGCCCCACAAACAGTTGTACGTTGAGTGATCAAATTTTTTTTAAGATGAAATTGTTTTCGGTCAATAAGTATTGCGTTAATTGCTTACCCTTCAGATCAAAGCTTGTAGCCATGAAAACCTTGAGAATGAAAATAGTCATTTTTATTTACTACAATTGCACATTTCTGTAGTTTTGGCAATAATCGTTTCAGCATATGGGTTACTGAAGAGAGATGAATGAAGCATTAGCATTTCTGATTACTCTGGATTGGGGAAAGAGCGTGGAAAGGCCTTTGTGTTGCATAGTAACTGTTGTGCTATTTATCTTTTCATTTTCAGCGCTTGCCTGCATTTCTAAACTTTACGTAGCTTTTTAGGTATGCAAGTCTGGGCTTGTGGGGAACAAAACAACCCTAGTTTCTAGAACAGCAACATTCCTTGCGCTTTGTGCGGTTGTGAGTGCCTAAGCCCGTAGGTTTAACTGCTGCCTTACTCTGGAATTTTATTTTGTAACTTTATCCTTTGACGCAGTTCCACGAAAAATTGTGACTTGCTTCGGAATTCAAAAGAGTACGGTTTCAGTCCTTTCACTAGACCTTTGAAGGAGACATCAAAGACTTCCTAACCGAAAGAAAGGGTTGAGACGAAATGAAACATGCAAAAATAGGAAATTATGAAAGTGGACTGATTCCTTGCTCTGAGTCTTCTGTCAATGTTGTTCTGTAACCCGTCACCTTGGAGTTGTTTTACAATACCTTGGCCTGTGCTCCATTTGTGAGCTTTTTATAAGGTCTATGTATGACTGCCTTGCAATCTCTTCCAAGCGGAGAACCCTCTTTTAAAGTTCAACATTACTTCTGTCTGACATGAAACTTTCTTACCAAAATACTCCATTTGCAAAATACATTGCCTGTCGCTTAGACTTCCCCAGTGATGACTTTCTTATCTTTAGAGAGCTGACCTGGGACCTGTGCTGGGATTCAGAAGCTTGGCTGGTTGGAAAAACAATTAACTTTAGTAACCATTTGCATTCAGATGTCTGTAGGTTACAGCGTCCTATCCTATTTAAAGAAAAAGATGTTGAGGATGACTGGGTAGATGGCTGGTGAGGGTGTGTGGTGGCGAGAGAGAGTGAGCACAACAAAACAAACTGATTCATCTTGTTTTTAAATCTGTATCGGTGTTTACTCTTGCAGAAGCCTTTTTCGGGTCGGGGGAAATAAAAGTGATTCTAGATTTCATTACTTTGTTGTGTATTTCGTTTGATAACGCACATCATGTTTGTAGAAGATGTGGCTTTGCTTCCTGACAAACAACATACCACCAGTACCACCACCGTTCAGTGATGTCGGCTTGAGTGTTTTTTATTCTAACAGTTACACCCACTGGAACTCATAGTGTGACAGAGAACAGTCTCAGCTTGCATTATTTATGTGACTTTGGCACCAAAAACTACACAAAGTAGATGGGTGAACAAGAGCTTGTTTCGCTAAATTGGATATCTCTGCTTTCAAGAGAGATTCTCGGAATGGGAGAGCTAAGGTGGTTTTATTAACCTCTGTAGAAAATAACTGATCAAACCGAATCAAGAGCTTGATTGTGGTTTAATGTGGTTCCAACTATCTGTTCTATATGTAATATTGTATTTGTAGTGCGGTGTTGAATCGATGGATGAAAACCCCATGACTGTGCTCAATAGGCTAACAACAACAAATTACATTTGTATTGCGCCTTTCACGTCAGGAGGATGTCCCAAGGCTCTGGGCAGTTACGGATCCACAACCGAGCTGGTGTTGGGATCAGGAGGGCGAAGAGGGTAATGGTAGGAGTTTGACCGAAGAGGAGGGTCTTGAGATGGGTCTTGAAAGAGACAAGGGAGGGGGGAGTTGGAGGGACTGTCAGATGCAGTGTGAGTGAGTAAGGAGAGGATTGCATCATTGGATGTGCCGTCCTTTGGTTGTGACTTTAACCAAGGTCCTGCCATCTTTCTGTTCGGGTGGAATTTAAAGATCTCATAGCGCTATTCAAAAATGTAAGGGGGTTTCTCCTGGTGTTCTGGTTAATAAGCACCAGTGTCTGTTTGTAGGTCATTGCTCTGCACAAATTGGCTGCCTTGCTCAACTGCAAAACACAGTCATTATACTTTACAATATATCCTACAAAGTGCTTTGAGACATCTTTCTGACATGAGAAACCATATCAAAAAAACAATGCAGAATTTTGGCAAATTCTTAAACTTAGTCTTAATTCTAAAGCCAAATTTCCACGGATCATTTTAAAAGAACTAAAAAGTGATCCTAGATTTCACTTATTTTTAAAAGTAAATGAAATCTAGAATTAAACGAAGAAAGATGACCAAATTAAAACCGAATTTCTAAATTTGCCAAAATTCTGCATCTGCTGAAATTTTAAGAAAATAGACTTTGGATATCCCCAAAAAAATTTAGATGAAAAAGCCCATTCAGCCCATCTGATGTCATCTTCTTTCCAGAATATCCACTCTACCATCCACCCATCCCAGCATCAAGTTGCTATTCAAACCAGCCCAGTGTCCTCGACCACACTTCCTTGTAAGCTGCTCCACCAGTTAATTACCGTCAGCTTTAACACCAGGTGGTATTTAGGGTCTTAAAGAACAGTATATTTTCTCTTCATCACAATTTCAAGCCTTTTAATGTGTTGCAATAGGATTTACGATTGTTTCAAGTTGTGTCATATCAGCATTGCTTGATTGTTTAAATATGCTGAATATGATCTTATTATTTCTGTGACTATAATCAAAGGAAACCATCTCGTTTCCATTGCAGTTCTTTCAAATAATATAGATATAATAATCACAATATAATAACAATATATAATATAATAATCACATTTACTTTATTACAGAGTGAAAACAGCTTAATTCCTTTTTTAAAATAAAGTTCTAATATAAAATTTGCCTCTGTTAATGTCTTAGCTAAATTACATTGCAGCTGGTTTGGGCATTAAGTGGTTTGTATGTCTGAATAACGTTCTTTTGCACCAACAGGATATGCCTGGGCTGGTGAGAGGGGGGCAGGAACAGAATTAGATAGAGGTGCTATGGCTCACTCAAATGATAATACTGAGCTCATTAAACCCAGAAAGCTCAATAACCCTGTGAAAGATTCTAAGAACTATCAAGAACTCCACCGTGAGTTGTTGCTGAGCCAGAAGAGGTGAGTTTCATCAGAAGGATGAGTTTTTTATTAAAGATAAAACTCTTTAAATGAGTCACTTAAGACTCTGAAAACTATTCTGGGACACCACCCCATGTGAGGGCACTAACCAAATATGCAAATTGTTATTTTTGTTGTTCAAAAAGTGTTGACAGGGACAGGAAATATTTTAAATTAGGAATAAACTGAAGCCAGGGTAACGAGAAAATAGAACACATACTTTTTTCAATATTTCTTTATCAATGTTTATTTATCACACATCTGACATTGATAGAACTATCAGTATGTCATATATACCAGTCCGGGATCATGATGTATGAGGTGAAAACTTTCAACATTGACGAGCCTGGGAACTATTAGTTCCCTTTAGCTGTTGTTGAAAGGTCAATACGGTAATTCTAAAAAGAAGTAATGGCAACTAAAGGATAAGGAAAGATTCAAACTACAACAACTTTCATTTATATAGCACCCTCATGTAGGGTAGTGACTCAGAGTGTTTTACATTAACTCCAGACCACTTCCAAAACCCAACCCTAGCACAAAGAACTGATCACTGCTCCCAATTTGAAGGCAATGTCTTCCAGTCCCTGAATCCCATCTAAACCTTGACAGCTTACTTTGTCTTTTTATTCCCATCCTACCACTTTACTGAGAGCTAAATCATTGCTCTGTAATATGGATCATAGAAAAGCATGTTTGGTGACGCTGTCTTGCTTCTAGTGAGAGTAGAGTTGAGGTGAAGAATAGAAACGGGTTTATTTTGGATTTATATTACAAATCATCTGGAGATACTCAATACAGACAGTCAAGGGTACAAATGTAAAAGCCCTCCATTCAATGATATCCCTCAACTCCAACGCATGTGTGTATATACACATGCACACACAACACACACTATAATATAGAATTGCAAAAAAAACTGCAAACTATACAGTGTTACTCGCTATTTGCTTAATACCTGCATTTTTAAAAGTAATTAACTGGACGAGTGGGAAAATAAGCTTTCCAGAATATGGGGCTGCAATGGTTTCCTTATTCTCAACTGGTTGATGGATCCTTTGATATAAGTTTCTTTGGGGGGAAGAAAACAAAAATCAAATGCCAGCTAGCCTCGTGATCAATGTCATTGCCTCCACTGTAGCTGTAAGTCTGTGGGTACTGAAATATGACTTGTCTTCACTTAACTGCCAACTCTTTTCACACCCGTAGAAACCATCTAAAAATTGGTGCATCGTGTACCTGAGAAAAAACGTTCGGTTCTTCTTACAGTTACTCAACAAGAACATTTTTTGTATCAGCGAAGCTATCTTTTACTTCATTTAAACGTAAAATAAAATTCCAGATAGGTTCACACTTAACATTTTTCATAGAAACTTATTCACTTGACGCGTATTTGGTGCAATTGTAAAAACTTATACTTTTCTCTCCCCAGAGGCTCTGTGCTACAGAACAAACCTGAACTTCAGCGGGTGATGGAACAAAGAAAATATGATCTGCAAAAAGAAAGGGAAGAAGCGCAGAGGCCAAAATCTGATTTTGAACAGGAACTAAAGAAACGACACCAAATATTGGAGCAGGTATACATTCCTATATTACCCCTCCCTCCCCACCTTTAAATCCCGCCTGAATACCTTCCTCTTTGATCATGCTTACATCACCTCTCCACGTTCCCTGGCTCGTTGTCAGACTCCGCCACTGTGAAGCACTCCGGGACACTACCCCATGCAACTGAATATTCTGTCCGTGCAATTTGCGTGACTCTTCTATTCCTTAAATCACTCTATGTATCTTACCATTTACGTTGGTTGCATTGTAAATAAATTTCCCTAATTATCTCAATTGGTAATTAAATCTAACAAGGTTTGAATCTCGTCAAAATTAAACTGCAGAAATTTGCCTTCCCAATAATTACCCCATTTCCAATTTCTTCGGAGGGATGATTTTTTTTAAAATGACTCCAGTGCCTTCTGTCTTCAGTTAGATGTTTTAATTGCTAGAGATCACACATAGTTAGATCTCCCATGCCATTTCAAATAGATTTTCTTTTGGACATATGGATCATTAGGCTTTAATTGTAATCCCAAAGAGAGCACAGATACCGGTACACTTCTGTATAAGAATGGGAATGCACAATATCAAACGTTTGCAGTCTAAATAATTATAGTCTTTTATAGATTTGTCAATGAAAGTACTGAGGCCATGTATCTGAGTTACAGTCCAGAAAATACATGTAGTTAGTTGACAATGAATAGCTGTTCTTATGATGGCGACATGTTCAGTGTATTTGAACAGAGGTGAGATTTGCAACCTCAATGGTGTTTGACCTTTAGATGTAACAGATATTTTACAGAGCTTGTTTGTGAGGATTAGTGACTACACCCTTACAATTGACAAGTTTTTGAATTTCAACAACATCTGCACTGCTTTTAATAGCAATTTGGTTCTGACACATTTATCTCAGGGCTGACCACAGATGTTTTGCTAATTTTCTTACTTATTATTTTTCATTTAGCAATCAATCAATCTCTTTTCTTGCTTATCTGCACTCCTGGGCATCAGCACTTCTTAGAAAAACTTATTAAAGATCTGTTTTGCAGAGATTTCAAATTGAATCAAGAGTATACTTTCCAAGTAAAATGTTACAGCCGTTAATGAGACTCAAATTACAAATAAGGTATTATTACTTTGTGTGCATGGTATAATTCAGCTTTTAAATGGTTTGAAATCGATAGTTATCGTGATCTTCAGAAAAGTTTGCTTTTTTTAAAAATTCATTACAGTATGAACAAGAACAACAGAAAACAGAAGAGCAGGAAAATGTGCCAGAGTTTGTCAAAGTCAAAGAAAGCTTGAGAAGAACAAAGCTAACAAGTGATGCAGAGGACAGTCGAGTGTCTTAGCCACACATTTGTTGGAATTATCAAGACGTGTTGTGCCTCTTCAGTACTTCTAAAAGCCTGTTATATAATGTAGAAACTGCACCAAAGACGGATGTCCATTGAGTAAGTCAAAACTCCACTCATTTATTTAAAAGGAGTCCTGTAGCTCAGTGCTTAGAGCACTTGCCTCGCAAGCGAGAGGACCTGGGTTTGGTTCCCGGGCAGGGCGAAATGTTGGACGAGTTTCCTTACTCTACACACTTCTGGTTACCTAGCAGTTAGTAGGAGCCTAGTTGTTAGTCGATTGGCAGATCGCTTTTTCTGGGTTAATAATTCCTTTGAAATAAATTCTAAAAAACAATTTGATCGCTCGATCCAGGAACTGTTTGAGGGACACTGCTGCGCGCAATTGGCTGCTGCATTTCGCCCATAAAATATACAGACAATTCACTTTACAGAATGTTCTCTGAAGCGCTTTGAGATGTCTTGAAGATAAGGCGCTATATCAAATGCAAGTATTATTATTATTTCTGAATGAATTCATTCATTTCAACCATGCCTTCATTTCTGCCAATTCTTTTGCCATTTAGGTGACTTAATTTTATAACTTTTTTTTTCCAGCCAATAACATTATTGGGATCATCCAATTCATATGTATCCTCCTATTAAATTGAGGAGAATCATCTGTAACTGAGTACAAACAATTTCCCAACCCAATGCCCAGTGAATTGCTCATCCATTTGAGTTGGTGGTTTTAACATCGGTTGAAACGTTCAGCTTTTAGTAACTTGTTCAAAAGATAGTCTGAGTTTTTGCCCACAAAATATACAATTCATTTTACAGTATATTCTATGAAGCGCTTTACATGTCTCAACGTGTGATAAGGCGCTATGTCAAATCCAAGGATCGTTATTATAATTTAGATTCATAGTGTCTAAATTGTTTTTGCATGTCAATCAAGATAATTCCTATGCAATATGGTAGGAGCTGGCAGAAAGAGAATGTGCGAATGATTGAAGACTTGTAACAATTTATACTTAATAAATATATATATAATTGATCTTATTTGTACATTTGTATATTTCAGTTTGTATCTGGATGGAAAGAATGCACCTGTGGATATTATTATTTTGCCCATGTATTTTCAGCTGTGATTTGCCGATGAGTTATCTACACATAAGTGATGTATAGGCCATTGTGCATAGATGCAGTGTGTAACCCATTTCACTGCATGACTGGAGCTGTCTGTCTTGATTTGTGCTGTTATGAAGCTACTTTTTATAGATGTATTAAAATCAAAGCTTTGTGCGATTAAAGCCCTCTGAGGCGCTATATAAATGCAAGTTGTTGTTGTCGGTTATTTCATCGTAGGAAGTTGCCTTTGTGGATATTCATCATATTTATTAAAATACATTTCTCCTTCTGCCTTGCCAACAGGAGAGAGGCTGAGTGAAGGTTTGAAAGTTTATTTGAGGTAGGGAATTTAAAATAGTTATTGGCTTCTCTCAAGGAGCACAACTTTGAGTGGCAACAGATAAGGTTAGAGTAGGTTCTTTCACCTTTGGAGGAGGAGAAGAAGAATATGTATGGGAGAGAAGACTTAAAGGAGTGAAATAAAAGAAAAATCAGCTTTGAAATGAGAATAACCTAAATTCCATTTGACTGGGCAGAAAAAAGGCGCGTAGAATATGGGTAAAATTATTTTTTTTCCTCCAGAAGAAAAGTACCCACACTAGTTTAAACAATACTCAAAGTAGATCATAAATAAGTTTGCACATAAATACTTATCTGAATCTAGCAAGGACTGAAGAATCCTAACAGTACAGAAGTACACTTGAAAGAAGAGCTGCTTTATTAAGAGATCCTTTCATGCAAAAACATTTGTAATTTATACAGACATTATTTCTGGAGCTAAATAAAATGGTGTCTTCTTTAGGAATATGTCAGATATTTGCAGTTTCTGACATTGCTAACTTTGCAAAGTTTCCATTGCAAGTGACTGTTCAGATGTCTTAATTACTTTGCCCTCAAGATCAATTGCAGAAAGTTACTGATGCACCATTAAACACTTTGGTTAACATTGTGGAGAAATATCTCAACAGACTTCAATCTGTGTATCTGAAAATCTAGTTTACATTAACTGCACCTACATTTCACTCATTCTCATGTGTTATCTGTGTATCCATGGACTCCATTTGATGTCTAATTTGCCTATGTGTATACTCTTAAACGGGGCTTGGGTCTCTGAATGTGCCAGGCATCCAGCTGACTAAAGATAAACAGCACAGTACGGGGTTGAATACCAAACAAAATTCTTATGTGATGCTAAGTCAGTCAATTCACTTTTCAGTATATTCTGTGAAGCACTTTGAGATGTCTCGAATATATGATAAGGTGCTACATCAAATGCAGAGAACATTATAGATTGTAAATAGATATCTTGAGGCGAGGACAAGATTCCAGTCATAACTATTCTAGCATTTTCTTTACATTAGAGTGAGAAAATTGGATTTCACATAATACTGTTGATTAACACCCTCAAGAGTTAGACTCCAGCAGTACTCCATGTGTAAGTGAGATGCACGGAACTCTCAGTTTGGTTTGTACATGGTGATGAGACACCTGACTGATCAAAGAAACACACAGAAAACTGTTGATTAGAATACCCCAGTGCAGTGTTAGAGGAGTGCTGTATTCATCCTTCAAATGAATTGTTAATCAAGGTCCTGTCTGCTTATTAAGATGAATGATAAAGAATTCATAACATTACTTGGAAAATGTGGGAGATTTTCCTTGGTGTTCTGGGCAACAGTCTTCCAGTTAAATTGGTTATTTACATCCTGACTGTTTGTGGGTCATTGCTGTGTGAAGAAACCCTGCCTGATTTGCCTACAAACAGTCAGTAAACTTTACAATAATAATCATTGCATTTGATATAGTGCATCGTCGAGACGACTCAAAATGCTTCACAGGGTATACTGTAAAATGGAGTGACTGTGCATTTTGTAAGAGAAACTCCAGTTTGCGCTGAGCAATGAACCACAAACAGCTTTAGAGCGAGGAAAAAGGTGTGAAGAGCTTTGAGACATTTCAACATAAAATTAGACGTGAGCAATTGTTATAAAAGCATGCTGATGTGCGGAAATCAACCCTATCACATGATATATTGCACGATCACTTGAGCTGCGTTAAGTAAATATTGTTCCGATTATAAAATTGCACAATAAAGAAAATCCATTTTTTAGGGTTAAAAGGTATTCATGGATAAAATGCAATGTCACTGAGCTGCACAGAGAGTTGATGTTTGTGCATTTACAGGTCAGGCTACACCCAATTGCCAAAGGCAACCAAGGGGTCATGTTATTCTTAAGATCGTTATTCAGGTTTCAACAGAGCACTCGTCCTGAGTTGCATTCACCACTTCCTGTTTTGTAAATCACTGAAGAGCTGCAAAAACAGTTGAAAATTTGTTAAAAATAGTTGTAAAAAGATACAAAGGTATAAGATATGAGTTACGTTACGTTTTAGTTTGAAGAGTCCAAAGGCTACAATTTCAAATCACTCAACAAAAGACTGTTTTTCCACAAACTGTTCTGTTCAGATTCAGTTTTCTGCAATTAGAATAAATCTTTTTTTGTGTCTTGTTGAACGGAGCAAAACATGGGACAGTTTAACAAAAGATACGAAAGTTGTACATATCAAAACAAATGTTGATATTGTAGCTTTCGTTTAAACGTTGCGCTGGAGTGAAAGTTTGTGATTTAATGCAAAACAAAACGATACTTGGATGATTTCCCAATAAACAAAGAGTTCCAGTCAAGGAGTTCTAGTCTAGTTTGACATCAAACACAGTAAATCCTGGGAAGTATTTGAGACATCCCTCCCCCCCCCCCACCTTATTGTGAAAGGCATTCTATCTAATGCAAATATACAAGGATTTTCAAATCAATTGGAAATTGGAGACATGGGACGTCTTTTAGTTATTCCTTTGCCAAAAGCAAAAAAAAACAATTTCAAAAGTTTTGTGAGGTATCGAATTCCTAATCATTCAATGTTAAATTTTGCCAATGGCCGAATTATATATATTCCAAAACTAAACCCCATCCCAATTATGACCTGAACACTTTATCAACCTTAATCTGATCTGGTTAGAATTAGGGCATCACTTGGGCACGAAAACATATTCTCCAAAGTCTTTGCTGGTAGCTTAGCCAGTGGTATGAAGGGGTAATCTTTCTCGTAAGGGTCATGGTATGTGTCTACACAACAACCTACTTGTCACTTTCTAAAGTTTCTTGTTAGTTTTTTACTAAACTATGATCTCTTCCTTTAATTAGGATAGTTCTCTGTCACTAGTCTTGGTGTGGCTTCATCTACTTTATCATAACACGGAGAATTACTCTGTGTTTCAATGTGATATTTCTCGTTTGACTTTACATTTGGTGTGGGTCTTTTAATTCACTTTTCATAAAGCATATTTCAGAACCATCCCTTGTATCTCAAGGTCATTCAAAAGGATCAACCTTGTGGTTTCCCTTCTCTCTTCTGCATCCTGTAAGCGTAGCCTCTCAACCAACCAAGCGATGGGTTAACTTTACCGCCTTCCCTTTATAAAACGAGCCCACATTTGAAGCTGTTACAGAGGCTTTCGTTTGCATTGTCTCAAACACAGAGCAATCAATCGCCTCCGACTTGTTTGCAAAGTCTGGACAAATTAAGTTGTGCCTTCGGTTGAACCTTGTCACATCAAGTGCTTCAACAAGGGAAATTTTCAATTCATTGAATCCCTTTCCAGTTTGGGTTTAGAGTGAGAAAGAAACAGGGTGTAACAGAGAATGGCAACCAACACTACCATCTCCAACCCCACTAGCTATTATGACTACGACTATGTGGATGATGATACAGAGGCGGTGGACTGTATTCATGAATTTGAACCTTGGGCTAACGTTTCTATCTCTGCTGTCTACGCTTTAATCTTCATCATTGGTTTCTTTGGCAACTTGTTCGTCATCATAGTTACGAGCTTCAAGCAGACAACCAGGAGACCTGTGGATACCTTTGTGATCAATTTGGCTGTGGCAGATTTGGTGTTTGTCTTGACTTTGCCTTTCTGGATAGTGTCGACCGGCAATAACCATGACTGGATCTTCGGGAGTGAAGTCTGCAAGATAAGCAGCTACATCATTGGCGTCAACAGGTATTCCAGTATCTTCTTCCTCACCTCAATGAGCGTTGACCGCTATCTCTCCATCGTGAAGCTTCTGGATTTCAGGCACTTGAGAACCCAGAGACACGCGATCAAGATCTGTGCTCTTATCTGGATCGGTTCGCTGGTGTTGGCCATTCCTTCCGCCTATTTCAGGAAACTCATCCTGACAAATAAGTCTTATTGTGTCGATGACAAGAGCTCTCAATTTTTCCGCGGTTTCAGCCTGGCTTCCATCTGCATCACCTTCGGTCTTCCGGTCATCATTATCGTGTTCTGCTACTGCTCCATTCTGGTCAGGCTGCGAGATCATTACGACCAGGCCAAGAAGACTTTCCAGAGGCGAGAAAACTCCCTGAAGATTGTGGTGGCCATTGTGTTGACTTTCGTTCTGTCCTGGTTGCCCTTCAACGTTCTCAAAGCTGTGGACCTGTATTTGCAATCTGAGGGCATCATCCCAAACTGCGCGCTTTCCCAGGCCATCAGCCAAGGCTTGGTCATCGCGTCTTGCTTGGCTTTCGTGAACAGCTGCATGAACCCCATCATTTATATCTCCCTGGACAGGCACTTCAGACGGAGAGCTGCCTGCCTGGCTAATTACTTCTTTAGGGGCACTAGGAGTCGAGCCAGTAGCATTTCATCGACATCTGCTGGGAGCATCGCAACACTTAAAGCTCTGAGGTGGCCTTCACTCTCACAGTCAGAAGCCTCTCGAAATATCAATGGAATGAGTCAGAAACGTTCCACAAATGCGTACTAAATAACAGACAAGAAACAGCCAGCAAATGCCAACTGAATAACAGACAGAAACAGCCAGCAAATGCCACCTAACTCGCAGACAGATCTTAACAAACCCAAACCAATTTCTGTGCAGTTTGTGTTTGAAGTTTCTCCAAACTTCTCTTCCTCTTTTTTTCGGCACAATCGTAAAACCCTTTGACCAGATGGAATGATCTGGTCAAAGAACAATTTTCGTCTTTGCTTCATAAGAACGCAACATTTTAATGAATGTCTTAAAAATCATATCGCATATGTACACAGCTGCTTGTTAGCTCTACAGCTTTTGATGCTTTGAATAAAGGTCAATCAGAAATTATTCTTAAACTTTTCTGGATCCTTTTTGTTTCTGTTGTTGCTGTTAACTGACAAACTTTAAGAATTCCCCTGAGCTTACAATCAAAAAACAATAAATCAAACTAAAGAGGTGAGGACAAACATAGGTTTTTCCCCTTACGCTGTTTTACTTGCCGCTGTTGGTTGCTCTTATTTGCAAGTTCTAAATTGAATATCTCACCTTTACCCCAGGAATGTGTAATCCAGAAAAGCAGCATTGGAATGAGTAACACTCACGTCCAAACAAAAGCAAAAGTCGTAAGAGTCTGTGAAAAACACAGAATCGCTTCTTCTTAGTTGCACAGTTCCATAGAGGTGGCAATTTTGCCCAAGCGTTTACTCTGTTTTTTGGGGTCAGCCGGGCGTCTGGCACATGCAGAAACCCATCGCCACACTTGAGAGTATCCAAACCAAACTGAGATTTCCACGCATCCCACCAACACGTGGAAATCCCAGAGATGGACTGTTAGAATGGAATGCGCACTCTCTCCCCCTGGAGGGATGTATCCTGGTTACCTAATTCCAGAAAGTATTAGGCACAGGTTGGCAAGAGCCAAGGATTGGGGGGGGACCCCAGAGTGTGCGATGGGGTTAATTGCTGGAGTTACACAGGCACCACAGCTGAAACTATTGTTTTTTCCCAATTCCCATACCATCACAAGGACATTGAAAGACAAGTGGGTGAAAACAGTTAAAGTGCCACCCTGATTGCCCTTGGTTGCAAGCTAAAAATACCCACCTAGTAGGTAAGAATGAAAGGTTAGAAATGAAATTATTCCTAAATTGAGTCACTCTGGATCAGAAGTTCAGATTCACGTCCGGGCTGCAGCTATCAAAAATTGCCGCAAAACTAAAATGACTGTGAATGGATACTTTTAAACCATGAGATTTGCTTTCTGTGATTTCAAAAGAAAAAAACGCTGCAAATTACTGTTAACTTACTCGCCTCAAATTTATCAGAAGTGAAGGAAATAAATGCGACAGACAGTTGAACGTCGTCTAGTTGGAGCAAATCAAGACTATATAAAATCCTCGCAATTATTAGACAAACATCTAATTTACAATTATACATTTATGTTTCGCCCACAAAATATATAGTCGATTCACTTTATAGCATATCCTGTGAAGCGCTTTGAGACATTTTGAAGACATGATAAGGCGCTGTATCAAATGCAATGATGATTATTATTATAAACTCAAGTTAGACATCAGCGTTGAGATCATTTTCAGTTGGAAAAGAAATTATGGATCTATTATCCAGGTTTTTGTTGAATTCAATTAATCCAACCTGTGGCTAATATTATAATCTCTGGAAATGAGTAAAGCAAGGTGCGTCCCACCAGGGAAAATATTAATAATAATCCTAGCGCTTTTCACGTCTTCGAGCCGTTTCAAAGCGCTTCACTGTAAAGTGAAATGATTGTATATTTGTGAGCGAAGCGCAGTGGCCAATTGCCTACAGCAGTGTCCCACAAGCAGTGACCAACTTCTTACTGGGACTATTATCAAGAGTGTGGAGTAAGGAAACTTGTCCAGGGTTTCGCCCTGCTGGGAATTGAACCCAGGTCTCTCGTTTGCGAGGCGAGTGTTCTAACTGTCCTGTAGCTCAGTGGTTAGAGCACTCGCTTCACAAGCGAGAGATCTGGGTTCAATTTCCAGCAGGGCGAAACCTCGGGCAAGTTTCGTTACTCCACACGCCTGATTATAATCCTTCAAAAAAAAAACAATAATACAATTGGTCACTTCAATCCACGACTGTTCGTGGGACACTGCTGTGCGCAATTGGCTGCCGCGTTTCGCCCACAAATATACAGTCAGTTCACTTTGCAGTGAAGCGCTTTGAAACCTGTCGAAGATGTGAAAAGCGCTATATCAAATGCAAGGATTATTATTAATATTTTCCCTGGTGGGACGCACCTTGCTTTACTCATTTCCAGAGATTACAATATTAGCCACAGGTTGGATTTATTGAATTCAACAGGAACCTGGATAATAGATCCATAATTTCTTTTCCAACTGAAATGATCTCAACGTTGATGTCTAACTTGAGTTTATAATAATAATCATCATTGCATTTGATACAGCGCCTTATCATGCCTTCAAAACGTCTCAAAGTGCTTCACAGGATATACTATAAAGTGAATCGACTATATATTTTGTGGGAGAAACATAAATGCATAATTATAAATCAGATGTTTGTCTTATAATTGCGAGGATTTTATATAGTCTTGATTTGCTCTAAATGCACGACGTTCAACTGTCTGTCGCATTTATTTCCTTCACTTCTGATAAATTTGAGGCAAGCAATTTAACAGTAATTTGCAGCGTTTTTTTCTTTTCAAATCACAGAAGGCAAATCACACGGTTTAAAAACAAATATACAAATATACAGTCAATTCACTTCACAGTGTATTCTGTGAAGCGCTTTGAGACGTCTAGAAGATGGGAAAAAGCGCCATATCAAATGCAAGGATTATTATTATTATTATTATTAAATGCTGAGCTACATGACTCCGCTTTACAGGAAAGAGGTCACATTCCATTCCAGACACAGGTTAATCCAAACCAAACTGTTTGAAGGCAACACACATATGTGGAACTTTCAGTCTGGTTTGGATACCCTTAACCATGGTACTCGATCACTAAAAATCAGAATACTATATCCAACTTGTTTTGGTCAGGCAGGTGTCTGACATGTTTGGAAAACAAGTTCAATATAGTATTATAATATTTGGTGATTGAGTGCTTTGCAACCATTGAAATTCGCATCAATAAGTGTTTGCATATGTAAATTCAAACATACATATTCTCAACTCTTAAACATAATGAAGTGAAAGCATACTGCACATTTTCTGAACAGAAGAAGAGCAATTCGGTTATTTCAGCAGATATCAACAGCAAGTGCGAATGGAGAAACGTTCCAAACATTTCCGATTACTTTTGACTTCGAAAATTCAGCGTTGAACCAAAACTGCTTGGAACAATACAAATACCGTAATAAATAAGTGAAGAGAACTATTGCCCTGTTTGCTTTCATTGTAGCACAAAGCATACCCTCTTGTGGTCACAAAAGCGTATTGCCGTCACATATTGCATGTCTGCACGAACACACTGCAAAGTAAAATTCTTTCGATTGATCTATTTTCGGATTTGAACAGCAGTAAATGTTCCCCAGACACCATTAAGGTCTACGCTGTCAATCTCTGCACTTTTATCGTTTGCTCATTCATGACTATTTTGAAGGTACGCAAAAAACACAGTGTGATACAGAACAACAACAAAATTACATTTATAGAGCGCCTTTCACGTCAGGAGGACGTCCCAAGGCGCTGGACAGGCAGAGAGGTGGGAGGGCGACTGAAGGCACGATCGAAGAGGAGGGTCTTGAGACCCGCCTTGAAGGAGGCAAGGGAGGAAGGCAAGGCGAAGGGACTGTGGGGTGGAGTTCCAGGGTGTGGGGGCAAAGAGGCTGAAAGCCCGGCCACTGATGGTAGGGAGGGTCAGGCGGGAGACATGGAGCAGACCGGAGCCCGCTGAACGGAGGGAGTGGTCAGGTTGGTAGGGAGTCAGTAGGTCAGAGAGGTAGGCGGTGGCAAGGTCATGGATGGCCTTGAAAGTGAAGACGAGGATCTTGAACTCGATCTTCTGGGGGATGGGGAGCCAGTGGGGTCGGGCGAGGGTGGGAGTGATGGGGTCACGGAGCCCAGTGCGCGAGAATACACGAGCTGCAGAGTTTTGGCTGATCTGCAGCTTGTGAAGGGTAGAGTTGGGAAGGCCGATGAGGAGGGAGTTCCCGTAATCGTTTATATTGAACTTGAGAGGGTTCATTATAAACCACTTTTAAAGCAACAACAACAACAACAACAACCAATTGCATTTATACAGCACTTTTCCCATCGGGAGAACATCCCACGGCATTAGGGGTTTGCACCTGAGCTGTGGGTTGGGATCAGAAAGCGGGTGGAGGACAAGGGAGGTGGAGGAGGGAAGATGACCGAAGGCGCGGTCGAAAAGGAAGGTCTTGAGACAGGTCTTGAAGGAAGCAAGGGAGGGGGAGAGGCAGAGGGGCTATGGGATGGAGTTCCAGAGGGTGGAGGCAGAAAGGCCGAAGGCACGACCTTATTATTATTATTATTATATACATGACTTTTCTTTAAAAGTTTTTAAAATCTAATTGAAATCTAAATCTACGGTATTCTATTCTGATGACAAACCACCCAGTAGGACTTGGGAGGGGCAGCCAGTCACCTCACTTGATTCCTCTCATCTACTGCAAGCCAAAGCCCCAATGGGTAGGGTGGAACTCACTGGGTAAGCAGTAGGAAGTCATCGTAATGCAGGCTATGCAGTTTCAGTTGGTAAAACTCCAACAGTAGCTCAATATGCACTCTCTGGTCGGTAGGTGTTGGCTCTCCCCAACCTGCAACTAATACTCTCCAGAATTAGGTGTGTTGCCTTAGGAAGAAGGTGCAAATTCTTTTCTAGACTCAGGAAAATTTGTATGTGCGTCATGTCGAACTCTAAGTCTGGTTTATATACTCTGTACGCCCGGTGGTGATTTTCCACACATGTGACAGACATCTGACTGACCAGTAAAATGTTGAAATGATTTAAGACTTAGATTTGCCTATTGCCCAATCCTGCCACCTATTGGTAAATTGTTCAACTCCAGAAACAACTGGTAACCGATTTCAAGTAAAATGATTCGCATTAAACAAATACTAATCCTCGCATTTGATGTGTAGCTCCTTTCACGTTGGGAGGACGTCTCAAAGCACTATCGCAGGATTTACTGCAAAGTGCTTTTTTTTCGTAAATGGGCA